TGCTGCAATCATGCACATCACTGCACTTGCTCTTCCCAGTCCTTGTCCATCTTCTTCTTCACCGACTTTGCTTGCTTCAGTCAACGATAACAACACAGCTGTCGTGACCGTCTGGATAATTCTTGTAATCACCTTTTCATCAAGTCTTGCGACACTTCTTGATCTTCGCACTTCAACTTCTTCTTGGACTTCTTGAACATCTTGTGCCAAATATTCACCTGTATATCCCAGACTTAGCATGTATTTCCGTATTTTCTCTCTTGTCAGGGATTTTGTTCCTAAGTCCGACGGATTGTCCTTTCCTGCTATCGCCTTTATAATCAGCTTCGGAATTCTTTGGATCCATAATAGGTCCACGTCTAAATGACGTGCCTTGCCTAAACCTTTTCTGGCGATCAATTGCCTTGAGCTTGACGAATCACTGTAAAACATCAGTCTTGGTTCCACTCCTAGGATTCTTGTCAGCAATCCTTTCAGGAATACACCTTCAGACAAGATTGATGTTGCTGCGATTGTCTCGGCTTCGCAGGAACTTAGTGCTACGCTCTTTTGTCTCTTGCTTTGGAAATGCACCAGATTCCCATTCACCATTATCACTCCACACGATACGCTTTGTCTTGACTCTCGATCTGCTGCCCAATCACTGTCGCTTATCACCTCTATCAATGCTGGCACTTTGTAGTTGTCTCTTTCAACTTTTCCTTCTTCGCTTCTTCTGTTCTTCACTTCCAGGAAACTCTTTCCAGGATAGCTTCCCTGATGTACCAACGTAAGTTCAGGTGTTCCCTTCAGATACTTTCCAACGTACCTTAGCAGTTCCATATCTGCTTCAACGGGTGATGCTAGCTTTGTCGACAGCTTTTTCAGGACATACATGATATCTGGCCTCTCGGGCGCAAGATACAGTAATATCCCTACTCCTTTTCTGTACGTGTGGTGATCTTCCGCGCTTAGCGGTTCCATTCCACCTTTCTTTGCTTGAAATGCTCTTCCATTGTCTGCTGGACACAGTAGTTTCTTCGGATATGCTCCTTCCAGTTTCAGCACTTCTACCAGTCCTTCAACATACTTTGAGTTCATCGTGATCTCCACGTCTCCATTGTTCATCGACTTGAAACTTCTCTTCAGGAAACTCATCGATCCTTCCTTCTCATCCAATGGTCCTTCAACTTTGATCTTCAATCCTTTGCTTCTGAGGAATTCAACCAGTTTCTTGAACTCTTCTCTTGATGCATACAGTTCCATGTCATGTACATGACTCAAAACAATTACTCCGAATCCTTCTTCATCTGGCATCCTTGAGAATAGTGCCGGGAGTCCACTGTCACTTGTTAACCCGTACTCTTCCAGGTAACCTTTCAACTTTCCAAACCAAGCTGCACTCCCGATTCGCTGACCGGGTAACGTGTATCCCAGTTCGTAATATTCTCCATCGACTTCAACCACTGTTGGTTCTTCTTGTTCCACCATCAAGTAAGCATCTCCAACATCGATACTTCCAAGTGTATATCCTTCTGAAGACGCGAATAAACCTGACAGTAGCTTCACCGTGCTTGCTACACCGGTTGGCGAAAACAAACTTGCAATGTCAGTATCACCTAACCATGTGAACTCTCGTGTCTCTGTGTCTCCAGTCATACACTATCTTCGTCGATAAGAACTTGTACTTTAGATGTCTGCTCCTTCTGGCAACTTGTTCAGCACTGTCATCTTTTCCAGTCTTTCTAACTCATGCTTCTTGGACACACCTTCAACCTTTTCCATCTCTTCATCAGATAACTTTGGTGGTCCACTTTCCAAGTCATTTGACCATGTTGGCATGTCTTCTGGTATCTCTTCTTCACCATCTGATTCTTGCCACTCTTCTTCTTCATCGAACTCAGCTTCCACTTCTTCAAACTCTTCCGACTCAACTTCTTCATTATCATGATACTGTGGAAATTCCTTCCTCAGGAATGGTTCTATCTTCTTCACACTTCTTGCTTCAACCACTCTTCTCACTGTACTTGACGCTTCACCGACGGCAATAAACTTCTCTGGTCTCTCTTCAGTCTCCGTCGTTCCCTCATCAATTCTCTGCCTAACCGCCTCTGGCTGCTCGCCTGTTTCTCCTCGGTGGGCGGGACGTCGCTGCCTTCGGCGGGTGAAACGGGTCGGAACCTACCGTTTTGCCTTTTCCAGCTTCCTAGTGGCACCAGCTACCACCAGGCCTGCTGGTTGTTTAGGCTACCTGGAACCTGGTTACACCAGAGCTGGTAGACACCAGTGGCCCTAGCCCTACATCTCATCAGTGCTGGCGACCCAGACTGGTATCCTGGGCACCCCAGGAAGCGGTAACTGGTAGTCACCAGTTCCTGTGGCTCTGGGCTCACCAGTATCTCCCAGAGTATTTGGAGAGCTCACCATCCAAGGGGAGGGGTTTGAGCATCCAGACTTTGCCAGGTTCTAAATCATGCACATTGTCACCACACAGGAGTGGTTGTGCAAGGTAGCCTTCAGGAGTGACCCCGAGTACCTGGGTTTGCACCAGGGCGTAAGAAAGGTCGTTGAGATCCTCAGCTGGCATATGGTTCTTTGCATACCTCCAAAGGGCCTCCGTAAGAGCCTCCAGATTCCAGTGGTGGGATTGCACCACTTGGCTGAGATCATCATGCAGCTGTATTTGACCATTTTCCAGAAACCCATTGTACTGGCCTTGTTGGTGAAAACCGGGCTCAGCCCCGGTGCATAGGGGAACCATCCATTGCAGTCAATAACCATCAGCACTGGTGGCGCAGCACTTGGGATGCCCAGGTTGCCCGGCCCCACATCACGAAGACGTAGGAATTTTGCCACCAAAGCCAAAGTGAAGGCAGCCTGGATCACCAGGAAATTGTTCACGGCCGAAAGAGGGCTGACCCTTTCCACTTGCAAGACCGTGATGTCCAATATTCCTTCAACCGCTCCTTTGCCTTCTTGAGCTTGTGGTTGCCCAGGTCCTTGACTGCCCCAGGCGTCACTCCACCCAGGAGGTTGAAAACTTTCTTCCTGGGAAACCTGGCTGATTTTCCACACCACAGTTGGGTCGTGGGGCGCTACCACCACTACTCCCATGCCTACCACACTGGTAACACCAGCTTCTATGGCATGGATGTAGGTTACCTTCATTTCAGGGAGGTAACGGGAGTGGCACGGCCTCACATCCTTCCTCATTTGGATCACTGACGCCATCGTCTTCTCAAAATCTGGCGCGGGAGATCTTGCAGGGCCCGCCTCAGGTCCTTCCCGGAGGACCACAGGCTCGAAGCAGCAGTTGTCTTCCTCTGGCGTGTTTACAGGCCCATAGGGGCTGCTCTCTCCCTCCTGGTTTTCTGCCTTGACCTCCAAATCACCAGGGTTTTCTTCAGTGCTCGCCTGTTTCTTCCTTCAAGCGCTGTGGTCCGCGCGGCCTCTGGCCTCGGGCTTTGCCCTCCGGCTGGCACAGCCATGGTGGCCTGCCCTTCGGCAAAATGCCGGAAAAGGACCAGGCCGATGGAACACCATCTTGCCTCTGTACAGGTCCAAAGCTCTACGGTGTGCTGGCTGGCAGGCGGGCCCTTACTGGCCTGGACTTGCCCAGTGGACTACGGCAGAGGTGCGGGCACCGCCACCTGTGAAGCTCACGGAACACCACGGCTCAGCACCCTTACCTCTGAGGCCACCTCAAAGGTCGGGTGCAGGGAGGGACACCTCCACTGCCACCAGCATCCCAGGCTGGGGCTGGCACCGAGAGAGCTAGCTCCTCTCCCGGATTTTGAAGTCCAGGTAGTACTTGCCACCCCTTTCTGGAGACACAGTCTTGGAGCTCCAGCTTCTTCAGCATCCTGCTGGGCAACACATCCAGCAACTTTTGGATGGCATCCTCCAGGGGGTCCATTCTACGCAGGATTGGCTTGTACTTCTCGGTGTACTCCTCACCCACTTGGTTCATGAGGCTTTCCCATCCTTTCCACGTGTACTTGGCCGGCCAGGATGCTGAGCCGACTGGGTTCAACACCCAGTCCGCCGCATCAAAAAAGGCCAGGTTGGGGTTATAGATCCGGTCATCCATGACAATCACATATTTGGATCAAGTATAAATACTTCGATCAAATATCTCCACTTCAAATCATATAAAGAATTGTAGACCACATATGTTGGTCCGATTCGAATATATACAGGTGATAAGAAATTGATGCAGAACGCTCACACTTGTTTTCACGGCACAGCCGAGAGTCATGGGGAGTTTTCGCGGAAAACACAAGTGCACAACGTGTGCACCGGGCACTAAGAGTGCCCCTCCACCTAAGTCGAGGCACCGGGCGTGCCAACAGATCCAGTCGCACTTTCGAGTGCAACGTGACCACCAATCTCCCCCCAGGGTGGGTGGGCGGGATCAAAAATTTTCTGACTCGAACTCGAGACAGCTTCGGTGGTCACTGAATCGATCATGAGCAAGTGGACGTGCACTGACGCTGAAGTAAAAATCGTCGCTTGCTCTGAGAAATGAAATCGTGAAACAACTATTGAAAGCTGTAAAAGTTTGATTCTAAGGCACTACTAGGAGTAGCGCAAAAATTGTCATGGCCCAAAATTTTGTTGCTCACAAAATTTCGTTTGACCTAGGATCTATAAAACATCGACACGCACACGTGAAGGGATGCTTATAGATCCGGTCATCCATGACAATCACATATTTGGATCAAGTATAAATACTTCGATCAAATATCTCCACTTCAAATCATACAAAGAATTGTAGACCACATATGTTGGTCCGATTCGAATATATACAGGTGATAAGAAATTGATGCAGAACGCTCACACTTGTTTTCACGGCACAGCCGAGAGTCATGGGGAGTTTTCGCGGAAAACACAAGTGCACAACGTGTGCACCGGGCACTAAGAGTGCCCCTCCACCTAAGTCGAGGCACCGGGCGTGCCAACAGATCCAGTCGCACTTTCGAGTGCAACGTGACCACCAATCTCCCCCTCTCGACTATGCGTTACGTTGCATCAAGCGCCTCACCAGTGACAAAGCAAGTCGGCGCGTCACGAGCAAAAGGCCCGAGGAATGCCAGCTCGTCCCATCTGCCTCGCGAAGGCGGGTCCGCGATGTTACTCTGACTCGGGACACGATGAAACCAGGGCAAACACGGCCGTGCTTCATCGGCAGCCTCCAGGTGGAGGAGCAGGCTTCTCCACGATGCATCGATCGAGTTCGAGTTGATGCAAGCACTCAACACACCCGAATGGTCAACGAAAAATATGCATCTTTCGCCGCCGATGTAACTCGACCACAAGATCCTGGCGAGCACCACCGCGTAAAGCTCGACCTGCCCTATAATGTGTTTCCTACCTTCGGCCCATTGCCTGACGAGCTTGGTCGGAACCCTGCAGCCGAAAGCCCTAGCTACCCCCTTGCCGGGAACAAAGAGGATCCCTCCAACACCTGTGGTGAAGCCGCCCTCGCACGGGTCGCATGCGCCATCTGTGAAGATAAGAACTGGATTCGAAGGCGGGCTCGTAGCAATGGCTCGCGGCCTGCTCGCAAGAAGTCTCGCCCTCAAAACAGCCAAGGCATTCGATTGCGAATCGGTCAACTGCAAGACACCACCTTTGTCACCAAGGAGCCTGAGGTCAGCCAGGGCCAAACGCCCCGTGCGGCCGAGCAGCTGAGCATCTGCAAAGCGAAGTTTGCCAAGAAGGGAGGGCAACTCCCTCGTGTCTACCTGGCCTTGTTCAAGGATGCGGCCTATGGACTCCTCGAGCATGGCAGCCCGTTCAGGCTTGTTCGATACAAAGATGCGCCCCATGTCGGGATCCGACGTATCGAGCACAACACCCAAAGTTTCTGCAGTGCAAGAGAACGGCTTCTCTTTCTCGGACAAGGAGAAGCCAAACAAGTCCATGAGGGCATGGACTGCATTGTCCGTCCCGCCCGACAAGAACGATGATGTCATGGTCGGGAAATCGTCGTAGTAGCAAGTCACGGCTACCCTCAAATCCCAAAGAACCCTTTGCAGAAACAATGCCACCCGGTTAAACTGCATGACTGAAGCCGAAGCCCCGAAAGGAAGGGTGTTGCACACAAAAGCTTTTACAGCGCGGGAGCCGGGCTCCCTGAGCAGGATGATGGAGAAGGTCATAAGTCTTGCAGTGAGGACGGACGCGGTCAGCGTCCTTCCACGCAGTATGGAGAGGCCCCTTGAGTCTCTCACCCGAGCTGAGCTCCAGATCGAGGGAGCCCGATGATTTTGCCGCACGGCAAACCTGCATGCACAGCCAACATATCTCATCAAGGGCTTTAAGAGTGACACGTTCAAAACATCCGAAGCAAGAGTTCACCGCAGCTTCCGAGAAGTCATCGATGGCACGCCATTTGCCTTGCCAGACTGCAAAACGCCGGCAGGCGTTCCAGCCTTCGGGGAAGGTGTCCCCCAAAGAGTCAACATCAATCGGACCGTCAAGCCAGCACTTCCCGGATCTGTTTGATTCCTCAAGCGTCATGTTCCAGAGCTCCTCGGCATAATCATGGTCTTTCTGAGCCCTGACTTTCTCAAGCAGAGTTTCCCTTCGAAGGGGAGCACTGGCCCAGAATTCGTCAAGGTCCATCGTGGCAGGCTTAACATCGCTAGCGAAGACCCCCGTACGTCCTAAGTACCCCGTTAGCTTAAAGCCGGCAGCCAGGTCATCGAAGAGAGCCGTGTCAGGCCACGACAAGTCGGCGGCAACCCTCTTCATGAGCGCAATACGTTTACACCCGAGGACCTTCCGCACACAAGGGTCCATAGCCGACCTGATTTTCTCTTCCTCTGGCTCAAGCTGCTTGGCGAGGGCACGCCAATGTTGTAACTTCAGAAGACGGTGCCTCATCGTGTCGACCGGGCTCTTCGTAAGGGTGTCGAACAAGACTCGCAAAAGTTCATCGGGAAGTGATCTGGCGGAATCAAAGGGGTGCACAACTAACTTTGCCTCGTTCAAGAAAGCTTGCATGGATCGATACACGCCGAAAATGTAGAACTTATTGCCCTCTGGGAGTCGCGAACCTCCCCGTTCAACTGACTCCCTGAGGAGCTTGGCACCTGCAGGGACGCCATGCCAGGCAGTCGAAAGGCAGTGCTTGGAATTGAGAGTGGGAGCCTCAGCACTGCCAACTGAAACGGTGTAAGCAAATTCAGAAATGATCGGCGGGAACTTTCGGCCACGAGGTTGCACCTGACCTGCGGCGCGTGCAGCAGAGACCTTGGAAATACTTAGGCGTTCTGGCGCAATGCCTCGTGATGCGGCCGACTTATCCACGCATGCGACGATCCTTTCACAAAGAAGCTTGGGATAGTTGGTCTCCTCAGCAGTGGCAAAAGAGCGGCCCTGCTTGCCCCATGGCAGATGTGAGGAGCAACCTGGACAGGGTCCGGAAAGGCAGTGCAAATGCTCAGAGTTTGTGAGAAGGGCCGCGGCCTTCTTGCGTTGTGACCCGTGGAGGCACGAGTCAAATGTGACGAAGGAGTGCTTTGAAACCAGCGCGGCCCACTTCGGAAGCTGCCAAAGGTAGCTATGCAAGGGGTTCTCAACGGAGAAAGGCACATGCGGCATGGCATGAAACAACCAGTCACAGAAGGCCACCATGTTGTCATATATAGTGTTGGCACTATCCACCCGGGCCTGCTCCACTGGTGGAAGGCCGGGGAGCCCACGCACGTGGCGGAGTGAACGCAGTGGCTTGGGGCCGGGCCCGCATTCCCTAGCTCTGCTGGCAGTACCGCATGGAGGAGCCATGTGGACCCAGGCGACGTTGTACTCCGAGCAAATGCGTCGTAGGAAGGACCACGTGCTGTCAAGGCGCAAGTCAAGCTGCAAAGTGTGCACACACGTCCGTTGTTTGTTGTGATGCCAATCGATTGGCACGGCCGTGTATCCGGCCTCCTTGGCAACATAAGAAAGCATCGCGGACCCACTGCAAATTTCCAAGAACAAAGGTTTCTCATGCCGGGGAGGCTGCGCGGCATGAGCTTGCGATTTCAAGCGTTTACAAGAGGGGTCGGCAGGTGAGGCGGGACTAGAACCCAAAAGGCTGGGGACCGTGGGGCTAGACCCAGAAGTGGCAGTGGCACACGGCAAGGCAGTCTGAAGAGGCGGCCGCTCTACAGGGAGCTGTTGTGCCGCAGCAGTAGGTGCACACGGAAAGCCTAATGGGAGCAGCGCCGTAGGTTGCCCACCTGAAAGAGTGTAGAGTGTGATGACCCACCTCTCGCCTGTGTATGGCATAGTCTTATGCCACAAGTTACATGGAAAGCTAGTGGGGCGGCAGAACGTGTCTACTATCTTGCCTCTGATTTGCTTGTCGCCTGGAACAGTAGCCTCAGAAGTGCCGGATTCATCCTCAAGCCAGAGCTGGCCGCCTGTGAAGGCGCCAAGCGAGAAGGTGTGGTTCAGTGAACCCTGCTGGTTACCCGAATCTCTGTGAAAATCCGATAAGGTGTTCCTGCCTACACAGATTGCATTCCAGGACACTTGGGGCAGAAGCCCCTTGATGGCTGCATTCAGTTGCTGGACGAAAGCCTGCATGGCAAGCGTGGCATGCGTCAGATGCTGCGGGCTGCTGGCTCTGGGCCCGAAGTTGTAATACCCCGACTGCGTGGGATTCGCTGAAGAAACAGACTTGCGTTGCAACACAGAGTCGGGCCACTGAGCGCCCCGAAGCAACTGCAAAAGTGAAGAAAACTTGTTTGCATCCATACGAGCACTCTGCTGACACGGATCAAGACCTGACAAAGGAGAATTATTCGGCACAGGCGGGGCCTGCGACGATGCAAAACTTTGCCCAGCCAAGCCTGGGCTAGCTCGACTCTGAGTCGAGCACTGCGAGCTACCGGGCTCGCTCTTCGACTGTCACTCTTGCTTTTGGCTAAGAGCCTCAGCACGCATTGGACAGTCCAATGCAGGATGCGACTTGCCGCACTTAGGCCATGCGCAGATGTGCAATCCGCGCACGCACCGACCACGAGTCACAGTTTCCCTGCACGTTTTGAGTCCATACCCAAAACATATGCTTTCACCAGCATTGGTGCAGGATCTGCAGCCTGACAGAGCGGCAGGGACTTTCCCGCCACCTTTGGTCCCCTTGGCACCTTTTCCAGTGCCCTTTCGGCCTTTGCCTGGACGATCGTACGGGCCTGGCCCGTGCGGTCTCGGCGGTGGTGCCACCTGCTGTGAGACCGAAGCGCCTGCTGCCCGAGGCATCGGCTGGAGCAGATGAAGTACCTCGGGTGTCTGCCACGTGGCTTCGAAGATGGCGTCGAGTGGTCGCCCACCAGCTTTGAGCTGGATGCCCGAGCGCGTTGCTTCTCCGAGAAGCTGCCAAAGCTTTCTGTCAGCCTGCTGACACTGATCGAGAGTAGGCTGCATGTGCGTCGACGGAGGTGCGTCGAGGCGCGCCGCAAGAAGGCGCTCGACCCACATGTGGTGATGATGGTAGTCAAGGATGTTCGCCATTTCCATAGCGATGCCGCGCCTCTGAAGCGCGAGCTGCAAGAGCAGCTCCGTGCTCGTGTCAGCACGGACCTCGACCTTAGTCTCTGATCTGAGCTTGCCAGTACTGTCGAGCGAGAAGAAAGGCTCTCGCTTTGCTCCTGTTGAGGCCTCTTGTTCTTTGGAAACAAGCTTCTCCCACGGGACAAACTGCAGCTTGTCCTGCTCATACTGAGACACGAAGGAGTCAACAAGGCTATCAGCAGGCTCAAGACGATTCTTGATGGAAAGGCCCACAAGTCGTTTGCTCACGACCTCGAACCGCTCAGATCTCTCCGGGACGCTCAATTTCCTCGGGATGGATTCGTCCGTCCGCTCCACAAGCATCTTCATTTCCGATGTGGTAACAGCATAAGCTTCATGAAATAGCCTTCGGAAGGAGCTTTTCTGCCCTACAGAGGGCGACGTCCCGAGGGCCGACTCAAATGCCGCGATGAGGTCCTTGTCATCGCCGGAGCCCGGCGTGTAGCTCGTCATGAAAGCGACCTTTGCGAGTGAATTCACACCCACCTTCTCGAGTTTTTCAACATCCGCAGATGCCAAACCGACTTGGGCACATCGTGATTTAAACACCGGCCCCGACTCGGAGAAGGCCGCCATGGTGAGCTGCTTGGACCACTAGGAGCTGAAAGCAGCTGCAGGAGGGCTTTGTTCCTCATCGAATCACCTCTCACAGCACTTGACCGGCTTGCGAAATGCACGTGCACGGCATCACATCTTTTGCACAAAATTGGCGACACGAGCCGGATGCAGAGTCATGTGCCCTGCTGCACAATCAAGTACCTCCTGAAGCACTGCTTGCACCTTGGATGCAAAATTGCGGGTCGCGCCTCCAGCTTCCTGTACTGACCCGAAATGGCCCTACCGCAGCCTAGGTTGGCACCGGCTTCGTCGGCAGTGATATGCACTACCCTGGATTGGCGATGCCGAAAGAAAACACACGAGGGATCAATCTTGTCAAGATCGACCTTTCCATGCCAGTCCAAAGCCTCAGCAACACAAGCTTCGTCCCCTGAGTGGTCGATTTCCTCCTCATCTTCGGAGCCCTCAGAGTCTGACGACTCGATCTCATCGCCAGGGGGATCGGCATTCGCCGACAGCTCGGAAGCAAGCTGCTGCCCCCTTGGTTTGTCAGGCTTGAAGGCCCCGGACGAGACCTCGTCGATCATAGATGACAAAGTCCTGAGCGGAGCCGACTGGGCATCGGACTCATAGATCAGCTCTGATCCCGCACCCGAGGCTCGGGACGTATGATACCCCAAGAGGGCCCTCTGTTCTCTGGGCAGACCACGCTTGCTTGCCCAGCTCAGCAAAGTTCTCTTAAGGCTATGTGTCCCTACATTTGCAAGGTAGGGATCGCTCTGAGCGTTCCCCAGCAGGCTCCTGAGCCACGAGCACGCCTGATCGCACGGAAGCGGGATCATCTTCCACGAACCATTCGAAGAAGGGCAGGGGAGCAACGGGTCGTTCTGCTTGATCGCAAGACCTGCCTCTGCCAAAGCCTCAAGCCAAGCATCGGCCCATGCACACTTGATGCCCACCTTCCTGGCAGCCATCGGCAAGTACCTGGTCTTGCGTTCCAAAGTGAAACTCGTCTTGGACCTGCCCACACTGCACTCCAAGTAGAGCGGCGAATCAGTCAGCGATGCTACATTTTGCCCGTCACTGTATCTAGCTCTTGCATAAATCAAGAAAAGAAAGAAACCTGCAGCGATACGGTCCTGCAAAGACCTGTCTTCAAGCTTGCAACAAATCCTTTCAAGAAGAATGACATCGGAGACCCTCAGAGGATTCCGTTGCTTGAGCTTCCTCTTCTGCATGTAAAGCTTCGACGCAAGGCCGCGGACGCGACCCGAAGTGTAAACCTTGTCACACCCTTCCAGGCCCACCACATGCTGAGCGAAAGCAACGGAAGAAAGAAGGCTCCTGAACGAAGTAGCCGCTGCTGTTGACTTCTTCTCCTCAAAGTAAGCGTAGACAGCATGCTCGGTCAAGGGAAAAACAAACGGCATGTTCCCCTTTGCCCAAGAAACAAACCGCAACAAGCAATTTGCCCTGGCATTGATCGTCGAAGTGGCCTTGGCAGCAAGGCAATCCGAAATGCTGTCTGCAAGTGATCCCGAAGAGATCCCCGACGCCTTGCCGGCGTAGAAGTTCCTAGCTACACCGAAGGTCAAGGGCTCGACCATGACCAGGCTGAGCCACTTATTCACGGCAAGATTTCTCTCCTCGTTGATCATAACTTCCCATGAAGTGTGTTTGAACTTGGCCATCTTAGCACACACCTGTTCAAGCCCCTCCGACCTGACGAAGCGAGGGATCGGCACGGCAGGCTGATCAGCAGAAGGGCTCACTGGGACTACAAGGGGGAGAGGTCCAAGAGGAGGCGGCAGGCGGGGCCTAGGGTCAAAGGCAACGAGTGCACCGTTCCAAGGGGTCTTCCAAACAGACCTCGAGTCTCTAAGGCACGACCTCAGGTGAAGCCCATAGCTCGAAGAAAGGGAGCTGTTCTCATCATCCCCCATTTTACTACAGCTCACAGAAAGCCAGTGCAGGCTCAAACTGTGCAGAAGCGCGCGCAGGCGCAAGCAGAACTCAAATGAAGCGGCGAAACAGATGCCGCAAATGTGCAATGAAAGTTTCAAGCCAGGAGATACGAGCGGCTGAGCTTGCTGCTTGCCTGTCCAACCAATCTAAGCGATCCTCGGCCACGCGGACACGAGACTCAAGCAGGTCGTGCGAAATCTGCAAGCGATAAAGATGGCTGGACAAAGCCTCAAAACTCGAGAGACTGCTAGGGTGCTCAGACGCCTCGGACGCAGCGAGACCTGCCGGAGCGGCCTCTTCCATCCGACTGCCCCACCACGGGCAGTCTTGCACGGTGCTCTAAGAGCAACACCGAGGTACAGAGGACTCAGACCTGTTAGCAAGAATTACAGGCCTCTAGAGAGCCCAGAATCAAAAATTTTCTGACTCGAACTCGAGACAGCTTCGGTGGTCACTGAATCGATCATGAGCAAGTGGACGTGCACTGACGCTGAAGTAAAAATCGTCGCTTGCTCTGAGAAATGAAATCGTGAAACAACTATTGAAAGCTGTAAAAGTTTGATTCTAAGGCACTACTAGGAGTAGCGCAAAAATTGTCATGGCCCAAAATTTTGTTGCTCACAAAATTTCGTTTGACCTAGGATCTATAAAACATCGACACGCACGCGTGAAGAGATGCTTGCTGTCATCACATGACAGAAAGGACAGGCCCACATTGGAGGACGTGATGTCCTTCAAGGAAAACCTCGTTGCAAGGCACAGGATCACAGCAGTGGCATATCCCTGCCACCCTTCCACGAACTGGTGGTTCTGAGAATACTCCACCATGGTGTACACCTTGGCTGTGATGGAGTACCTCAGCGGCATCATCATATGTACCAGGGGCTCCGTAGTCAGGGCGAGGCGGACAGACACCGTACCCTCGCCCAAGAGCTCCACACCCAGCAGTGGAATCATCTTCAGAACTTCGATTTCCTCACCGAAGTCCTGGGCAAAGCCGAATTTCACCATCAGCGCATTGCCCATCGTGTACGACACTCTCGTTCTGCCTTCCCCAAACCTGTTCAGCCCAGCATACAGGCCTTGGTGGTAGCCATGCTGCCAGTACTGAAGGGAGGCACTCAACCAAGCCCACCACACCGCAATGGAAGTGCTCATTGCCCAGATTAACCAGGTCTTTTGGGTTCAGAGTGGCTCCTCTGTACACCTCCAAACCCGTCACGGGGTGTAGCTTCCAGTCACTGGCTGCCAGAGGTGGGCGGATTCGCCCTGGGCCCTCCCTCAGGGTTATTCCCCAACGGTTGTCCACTTCCTCGTCGGTTTCTGGCTCAGAGTTCTCCCCTGCCAAAGACGACGAGGAGCTGGACGGTGGCGGTGGGTCGTTGTGGCCTCTGGCCTTCTCTTTCTTCTCCTTCTTCTCCTTTCGCTGCCTTTTGGCAGGCGGGGCGGAAACCGCTGTCCCTGCCCCTTCTGGCACCTGTGCCACTGCCGGCACCCTGCCCTTCGTCCTGGACTTCGGCCTTTGCCCCTTTTCGCCTGGCCTCCGGCGGCGGTGGGGGCTGCCGTTTGGGAGGCTTTGGCGCAGCCTTTTGCGCTGCTCTCTCCCTTTTCCCGGGCCGCTTTTTGCTTCGTGCTTTGCTGGCCGGGCTTTTGTGCTTCTTTGGCGCCATTGCTAGCCGAGGCTTCCGCTGCTCCTGGTGAGGCCTCAGCTGGTTGAACACCAGCCAGAGCACCTCCAACCAGGGCGCGCACCTCCTTGGCTTGGGTCCCCGGGATGCCAAAGCTTAGTTTGGTCTGTCCAGCGGCCTTTGCCTTGGCAGTTATGCAACTACTCTTTTTCGGCGCTACTTCACCTTGGGCCGTGCAAGCAAAAGGCAGGGAAACAGGTGGAACACCACACAAGGCACAAGCATTCGCAACTCTTTCAGCCATGGTTCGAGCCTTGGCCTTGGACTGGTTTTTCCCAATGCACCCCTCACAAGGTTTTCTTTGTGGTGTGGTGGTTTTCAAGCTCCTATAAATCTTCTTCGTTCTCACCGGGGGAAAACCTTATAGCCCCATTCATACTATAACATAAATGTCAATATGTCTCAACAAATATGTTGACCTCTTAGAGGTCTATAAATTATGAAATCTTCCAATCACAATATACATATTTGAAAAGGGATCGGTCCTTTCTTCTTTCAAGCGATCTGGGGTCTCACGAGGCTGCGCTGCTGCACCAAAAAGGTTTGAAGTCTCCCGGCCACTCTCCCTGTGGCCTTCAAGCGAGCCCCAAACCCGGGTGGGCTGGGAGGGCAAGAAAATTTTTCTCTCGCCCTTGAGTAGCAGAGCAGCCATAGAACAATTCTCAACAAGTCCATGCTTCGCACATGAAAAATTTTCTTCAACACTAAACAAATTCTTCAAAGAGAGCATGTATAAAATCATGCATCATGAGCTCTAGAAAACCCGCACTCTCCCCGTGCTGACCACCCCCCAAAAGAAAGACTAGTCGGCACGCCGAAGACGCCCTTCTTTGTGGTGTGGTGGTTTCAAGCTCCTATAAATCTTCTTTGTTTTCACCGGGGGAAAACCTTATAGCCCCATTCATACTATAACATAAATGTCAATATGTCTCAACAAATATGTTGACCTCTTAGAGGTCTATAAATTATGAAATCTTCCAATCACAATATACATATTTGAAAAGGGATCGGTCCTTTCTTCTTTCAAGCGATCTGGGGTCTCACGAGGCTGCGCTGCTGCACCAAAAAGGTTTGAAGTCTCCCGGCCACTCTCCCTGTGGCCTTCAAGCGAGCCCCAAACCCCAGATCATCTCACGCTCGGTTGAAGGCCTGGATCCTTCCAACAAGCTCTTCAAGTCTCGAGAAGGGTTGCACACAAGATGCTCCGACCGTCACCAAAGACTCCTCTCCTTGGTCTCTCGACGGCGCATCCCCCGGATTGGAGTAGGATGGGACTCTGCAAACCCACCACATGGATGGCCATTCTCTGTCGAGCTCAGAGAACACTCGGGCTAAAGTGTGCATGCCCCAACTGCGGCTGGCGCC